AATCTTTCTGCCACATTAAAGGGACCTGCAGTGCTTAACAAACTGATTGTTGGTGTAAGGTTTATGGCACAGTTTTAACAGTTTTAGTATTTACCAAAATAATTTTTTCATTTAAATTGGCATTTATGTGCAAACTCTTTAATCAAAATGATATGTCTAATGCTAAAATATAGTTACTATTGTTATAAAATAATTTTCAAATTTACTGTTTAAGAAAAGTAAAGTACATTTATTTATTTTTTATTAAGATGTCGAGTTACAGTGATTTATTTCCAGTCCAGTGTGATTGGGTGTAACAGTAAATGAATTCAGTTTATTTGCTTAATAAATAACAACATGATTTTAGTTTAAACTATTTTTTTTTCTAAAATATGTTCAATATTTTTCTCTATGTGGTCTAATAAGTTTAAGTACTGCATGCACATTATTAAATGTGAATAATTGCAGTAGAACATACAAACTGTGGTGAGAAATACAAGTCCCCAAACATTAAACTTTCTAAATTACTTTCAGTCATATAGAATAATTTTATTAGTGCCTATTTTACTGTAATGTCATCTAGTCGCTAACATTCAACATTGTAACAAGGTAAAATGATTATTGTGAGTTCTTTCACTCCGAGTTAAATCATCTAAAAATGCACCGAGCGTATACGTTATACATGATTGTAAATAACTTCCATCAGTGTAACAAATGCTTAGTGCTTTATCTTTTGACAGTAATCAAAGAAAATTGCAATTCTCTTCCTCATCGTCTTCAATACAATTCTTTTCCCGTGCATGCCACATATATGTCAGTGGTAGGGAAACAACCAGTGATTACGTATCAGGCTGCTCATTAGTGTAATGCGGCACATGCTGCATTGATTCAGTAGTAATATGAAATGTCTGCATGTGAAAATATGAGTTAGAGCCTCAGATTGTAGCTGTCTGTTTGGCTCTTTGCGTGAAGAGTTTGGCCCGTTCAAAGCTTTCATCAAAATAGTAAATGCAGTTCAAATGCTGATGAAGAACTCAATGTTATTCCAATTTATTCAAATCCAGACTGCATTGGGAGTTGGTAAACAGATAGCACAGACTCATGCACATCCAGATGCAGCTGTCCTTTGTTCTGAGACTCTGTCCCCGTACAATCAGCCTTTTCTGCCCTGCTTTGTCCACAGATTCGATCCAGAAATCCAAATGAGATCATATTTGGATTGAATGATGGCTATTATGCAGCTGACTTTGATCAGAAGGTATGTCCTTTCGTCTGTTTTCTAAAGCTTCTTGCATGACAGTAGAATACCAAGTTCAAATCTCGTTTCGACGTTGTTTGGCTTCTGCGCTGAAACTCAGACATGTGGCTGTTGCAGGATCAGTCGGAGCGTAAGAAAAACAGCCTGCTCCAGGTGGACCAGAGTTCAGTCAGGAACTCGTACAGCGTTTTTTCTTTGCTCAGGTAAGATTCAAGCTGTGCAGCATTGTCGCATCTCATGTTCGTTTTATGGAGCTGGCCTTAAATCATATGTAGTGAATCACTTTTTATGGGGAGCATCTTCTCCTGACAAATAGATCCATTCAGTTTTATTTATGCAGCACTGAATCACAACAGCAGTCGTCTCAAGGTTGACCCTACAATAAGACATACAGAGAAAAACCCAACAATCATATGACCCCCTATGAGCAGCACTTTGGCGACAGTGGGAAGGAAAAACCTCTTTTAACAGGAAGAAACCTCCAGCAGAACCAGGCTCAGGGAGGGGCGGGGCCATCTTCTTCTTCTTCTTATTATTATTACTTTTATTAAATAGGTCTTTCTTGCTTTTATCATAAATATTTTCAATACATTTCCTGTTGTTTTACTTGCCTTTTGTGGGTTTTACTCGGGTATTTGCTGTCCAGCAGATGGTGCCAGAGGAACAGTTTTATTTTAGAGTCGTTGTGAGGGAAGCTCTGCAACTTGGTGGTAACTCATACATCCCAGAGTGAACACTGTTGGTCTCAGACAAAATAAAACTATTGAATTACAGATTTTAATCACCTTTTCATTAGGTCAGTGGCAGTCTTGTGGTGAGTGGGGTATTGAGGATATGGAGTGTAAAAAGGATTGCAATGCATTTTTACGCCACAGGAGGGAGACAGAAATTTGCTGAGTAAGTTGCTAGTTGGTGGGAGAAACCCTGGTACAGTCATTAGGAACTTGAGACATAAGGGCCGGCTGCATCTGTTGACAAACAGGCTTGTTGTTCTGCATGTATATTTAAATGTGGTAGAACGTAAACAGCACTTACAGAATCACCAGGGCTTCCCCGAGGGGAAACCCTCTGTTTACCGATCGTGTAATTACCCCCAGTTTTGTCTAAATAAATATATATTTGGAAAGTTACAAGTTAGATGTTTCCAAAATAAGATAACGGTCCTGTCATTAGGTGCATTATGAAGGCTTGCACTAAGATTTTCCCCCTTTAAGAATTAAATAAGGGGCCATAAATGCGTCACAGGCCTTTGCAGTGTCAAGTAAATGGAGTTATGCCAAAGCTGTCTGAACTTTAACAGTCTAGAAGTGGTCATGGTTTATGGTTATATGAGTGGAGACCATCGCCTCTCCAGCAGCTTGAAGGAGGAAAAGCCCAGTTTGAATCATAACTTTTATGACCTCTGCTCTGGCTTCTTCTGTTATCGTAGCCTTCCTCTCCATCCTCTTCTTTATCCACACCACATGGGATCTGTGGGGTTTACCACACTTAGGTTTGTTTATTTGTTTAAGGAACCCCATTAGCTTCCACAACAGTGGTTGCTAGTCTTCCTG